TCGGGCCGGGATCTACACGAGTGCGCATATTGGTGCTGATGGGGGTATGACAGGGGCGCGAAGAGTGAGCCCAAGGGCAGGTGTGACCTGATTCCTGGCAGTCGGGCGGTCTCTGGGTACTGCGGCTCCAGATTATCCCGCGGCTACCTGAAAAGTGGCATTTGTGATCTAAGCTACCCTGGCAGGGGAAGCATGGTTTGTGTGAGGAATAAATCACCAGCTGGTTAGAAATTATTCGAATCGCCATCGCTCCTGGATAGTGAGCACTTGACTCGAGCTACGGCATCGTAGTAATTACTATGGAACAATGATGGTTATCTGGATGATGTGAGTTATGCTAAGCTAAATTGGTAACTGGATGTTATTGGTTAATCATGTGATTGCTATAGTACAGGTGCTTACCTAGATGGGTAGGTTATAATAAAGATGATGCAAAGTACTTAAAAGGGTTTATTCTTGATAACTTGTGCTTTCGCAAAAGAGTCAGCTAGCCCACTAAAGAAAGCCTTGCATGATCCTTGGTGTCGTTTTATTTTGGTTTAAGGCGGGTAAGTCTAGCTGAGTACCTTCTCGTACTCAGGGCGTTGTTCCCATTGTTGTTGCAGATGGTCAAATGTACTACGGCTATTGCATTAACTGCCTGTATCCGGCGATTGGTGACAACTAGGACCACGGGCAAATGGTCACTCCGTATTTCTCATCTGATGCTTTTGTTGGAGATGACTACCTACTGGCACTGTATCTGAATCAAAAGTGTGTGTGTGGCTTTAAAACTATTTGCTTCCGCTATTTCAGTTCAAACTTGGTATGTAATAACTTTATGTTCCAAACTCTGATGTATCAACTGCCGTTGCGAACTTTATGTAACGTGTGACGGTACTTGCTAAACTTGTACGATCTTGGTTTGTATGTCGATTGGTTTGAAATCCTTCATGGTTTCACGGACTACCGGGTTATATGGGTTTAAGTTTGCTAAATTATCTGCTTCGGCGGAAGATTTTCTTACTTAATCTCGTATAATTGGTTAGTTCTGTTACACAAACCAACCAAATGGCCTAACCCAGACTAAAGTTTGCTTCTCCCTTCTTTGAGTTCTTTTGTTCTTCTGCCTATCCGCAATGGCCCGTCTGTAAAATATCTTTTGTCAATCCAAGGGCTCGTCTGGATTGGTTTGAGATTACACGAACAGACTTGCTAGCTCCCGGATGTCCGATCTGGGGCGCCAGCGTCAGACGGTACTCGCTCAGCGAGCAAGCGAGCACCCCAGTGCGTCGGGCTTGCGAGCGAGCCCCCCAGCAGCGGGCCTGTGTCACCCCGGACGTCGCCCGCAACGTCGCCGCTTCTCACGCACATTCCATGTGGAATACTGATATACTTTTGAAACATCCATATGCAACAGTTGCAACATACAAAAGAAGACAGATGAAACACTTAAAACATATGTCTGAAACCACTACAAAAAACCTTGTAATCCATGACGAATTGTCCATGACGGATTTAGAAAATGTCACTACTAGTGTGCAACATTCACTAGCAATATATAAACTCGTAATGGATATCCTGCCCACGGCCCAATAGGCACTACCATATATAAATGGCCCTTAAACCTAAATTTATATGAAACACTTGCAATAGACATATAAAACACCTGAAACACTTAAAATATACGCTTACAACATGTATGTATTTGCAATATCAAGATGAAAACACTTGCAACATACGTCTAATACCGATGAAACATTAGAAACATACACTTGAAACATACGTGCATAGCCATTGCAACATGTGCAATATCTCGATCTACTTTTACAACATCCTGATCTACTCTTGCAATACCGATACGAAACACTTGCAACCTGTGAAACATCTGAAACATATATTTGCAACATGCGCTTTCAGCGCAACATCTCCTTGCTCCTTGGGAATGGAGGCTCGTCGGTGTGTGGCGTTCACCGGTGTAGAGCTCGCCGATGGCACAGAGCTTGCCGCTCCGATGGAGAAGGCCGCGACGGATCTGGCGAGCTATCACCGCTCTAGTGGAGAAGGCCGCGACGGACAAGAGGCGCAGCAGAGATGGAGGAAGGCGGGCAGCCGTGGTAGGCTGCGATGAGATGGAGGAAGGCGGGCGGCCATGCTTGGGCGCGGTGGAGATGCTGGTCACGGCGTTGCAGAACAGAAGCGTCGAGTGTTGGAAACCTTCTGGAGAACGGAAGCGTCCGAGTGTTGGAGGGGATACGGCTGTTTGGCCGTTGGGCTGGTGTCACAGCCAGCGATGGGGAGCGTCCGGACGGTCCGCCCCCCTTGGCACAACATTTCCGTTATAGGAATCTACAGATTATAGGCATGGATTATAGAATTTGGACTACGAATGATACAAAATCTAGGTTGTTTGAATTTCTAGATTCTAGCATAAGATTATGGGTCTATCTCCTCAGCACGTGACTGATGGAGATCACCTTCTCCATAGTGACTCCTCGTCTCTCTGCAGTGCCTCTCCCCGCCTTCTTCTCGTCATGACACCCTACCTTCCCACCCGCCTCTCTCCCCCGCCGCCCACTTCCACGATCGCCTCGCCGGCCACCCACGCCCACCACCGTCCGCCCCTACCTACTCGACCCCACCCTCCCCTAAAGATAAGGAAGGTTGCCGGCGACGAAACTCGTCCTCGCCCCGCCCCCACCGCCGGTGGCGGGTGGCTCGCCACCTGCCGCGCGTCACCCGCAACCCGGCCCCGCTAGGTGACTGCGTTTGAGTAATTCTGTAAGACTAAGATTATGACTTGTTAAAGGATGTATTATCTGTAATGCCCTTGATCTTGCCATCAATCTGTAAATCAATTCCTAGTAACGCATAATTTACATAAATGATGTAGTTTTTAAATACTCCATCCATCCCAAATTATAAGTAATTTCAACTTAATTAGAGAATCAAAACTTGGATCCCAAGCTTGATCAAATTTATATAATAAAATAATAATATTTATGATATCAATTAAGTATCATTACATCATCTTTAATTATATTATCATAGTACATCTTTTCTATCTCCACTAAGCTTTCTATTAAAGCTTGATTTACCTAAGTCAAAAAATATTTATAATTTTTTTATAAAATCTTGGCCAAACTTAGACTGTCTCCAACGATGCAACCCAAACACAAAATAGGTCGTCTACAGTGTTTTTGGGTACCAGAAAGACGCTCCAACGGATGACCCAGACACAGCGCGCATTTTGCGTTCAAGCCGATCCGATACGCAAATAAACGTCTCGAGAGGAGACGACGCATAAATGATCGGCGCCAGCAGAGGTGGGCTCACGAGGCGCTGCTCATGACGGGCGCAACCGCAAGCGCTTCAGCGTAGCCGGTCGAGATATAGTCGCCGCCGCCGCCTAGATCCGCCCACCACGGGCGGATCAGCCACCACGAGCGCAGATCCGGCCACCAACAAGTGGATCCGCCACCACAGATCCACGGATCCGGTTGTGGAGAAGGAGCGCGCTGGAGGGCCGCCCACCGCCGCCTTTGTGGAGTGGAGGAGGGCCAGCGAGAGAGAGAGGAGAGGAGGCGGCGCCACGCATGCATGCCGTGCTCCGAGTGCCGTGGTGGAGAAAGAGCGCCGCCCGGTTGTGCTCCCCATCCCGGCCGCGCCGTGCTCCTCGCGCCGTGGTGGAGAAAGAGCGCCACCCGTGCTCGCGATCCCGGCGCGTCGTGCTCAGGCGCCGTCTTTGGAGAAGGAGTGCCGCCAGCCAGTGAAAGGAGCGCCGCCCGTGCCAGGTTCCGACACAAGGCTACCGGGAGGGGAGGGAGAGGGCGTGGCAGTGGGGCGCCACCGGGATGGGGAGGGCAAGGGAGGGACGGGCGCCCACTGGATGGAGGGAGGGAGAGGGCGGCGTGGTCAGGGGCTGGGAGGGGAGGCGGCGTCGGGCTGGGGACTTGGAGATGGGTGGGCGGCGGAGAGACCGAGGAAGAAGAAGGCTGATTTGTGTTGCCTGTTGGAGAACGTAAGTTTTAGGTAGGCATCATTTCTACTGTGCATCACCTAAATCATAGAAATGGGTGTCGTATTTAGGTCTCATCGTTGGAGACAGTGTTATATGCTTCGACTCTTAAAAAAATTATAATTTGGAATAAAGGGTGAGTAATCGCGGCTTAACCTATATCTGGCTTGTTCGACTTGTTTTTAGTACTAACAGTATTTTTTCTCTCGCAGCCACAGCAGTATTTTTCGGTCGATTACAGCCGAGATTCAGCGAGCCGAACGGGCTTCTCTCTGCAATCTCGGGACTCATCCTGCTCTCGCCGAGCACAGCTGGTGGTTACAGCAGGCAGCAGCGCACGGGCGCAGTGGTCAGGCGCACAAGGGAGAGCGGCAGTAGCGGCGCCTGTGCAGGGGTGCAAGGGAGACGGTGGCGGCAGCGGCTCGTGTCGACGGCCGGAGGCAGCGGCGCGGGGCGTCGGTGCACGCGGGCGGGGCGGAGGAGGCACTGGAGCAGCTCGCGGCGGCGGGGTTGAGCCAGCGTTGCGGCACGCGCGGGTCGGTGGCGTCGGGACGCTGCCGAGAAGAAACGGTAGGAGTAGAGAAGCCTGTTTATCCGGTAGGAGAGGGATTCGGAGATTTCAAGAATCTGCTTCTTATTTTTTTTTCTTATCTCGCTCTTTATCCCTCCCTTTTGGAAGCGCCGTGATTTTTTTATCTCGATTTTCAGAATCCACAGGGATACAAACGGGGCCCAAATCTTCCCGACTTCTAGTACAGTCTTCCTCAGACGAGGCCGCAAGACAGGAGGAGATAACGCCGGAGGCAGCCAGCCAGGGCGCGATCAACCGCAGGTACACGCGCTTCTTCCGATTGCTCGAGCCTTAGAATTCCTGCCTGACCGTTCTGGCCTGCTAAGTTTCTTGGTTAGAACCTTTTCTGCAATATAAGCCAATAAGCAAGAACCTTTTTCTGCAGTAAGCCAATAAGCAATGCAGTAGTGGGCGCAGCTCCGGAGGAGGCGAATGGTGGCGCCACCGAATGCTAGCATGGGACTGCTCAGTTTGGGTGGCTGCGGGGCTCTCCTCCCCACTCCGCAGCCTAATTCGTGCCATGGCCGCGGGTTCTTGGTTCCTGAGAGGAGCGTCTCCATGTTGCCACTGCGCTGGGGTTTGGCGAGGAAGAGAGGCCGGGTTCTTGATTCTAGAAGTGACGGTGCTGTGGCTGGTGGTGAGGTCGGCGCTGGGTCGTCGGAGCTTCGGCACATCGAGAAGGAGCTGACGTTCAGCCCGACTTTCACTGACTATGTGAAAATCATGGAGTCGGTGAAGTTGGACAGGAGCAAGAATTTACATGGCACCGATTCGGATGGCCGGAGCTCGAGGAGAAGGTTCGCGGGTGATGACCGACGAACGAATAGGAGGTCTGGTGATGCAAGGAATAAACCATTTGAAAGGAATCAGGGGCCTCGGAGGGACTTGGCGAAGGATGAGAATCAGAAGGATGTTATGGGATTTGTGGATAAAAGAGCAATGGGACATGTAAAAAATAGCCGTCGCGGGCAAGGAGAGGTTGAAGGCTATGTACAGAGAAGAATTATTCGTGGTGACACGAGAGGAAATGGAGGCAATGAGCAGTTCTCATCACCTGTGAAGGCTAAAGATACTAGGGGTAGTATGTCTGTTCATCAGTTGGTGAGGAACAGACAGGCTCAGTCAGTTTCAGGGAACGATTTACAAGGGCGAGCAATGTATACTCCATCTGGGACTTCTGCCCTTCCGAATAACAGCATTTCATCAAAGAATGCCAAGGTTCAAATGGGAAAACATGACTATACTAGGACAAGTAGTAGTATAGACTTCAAATATCCTGAGAGACATTTTCCAATACTGAGGTCAACGCCGACAGTAACGTTCAAAGAAACCGGCAAAGAGTGGAGAGCTTAGGGAGAAACTTTGTAGTGCGCAGGCTTGGAGAGATTGACATAGACTGTAAGAAGTCTACTGTAAGCAAAATTTATAGGAGTACACAGGCAACGCCTGAGCATGATAGCCATTCAAGTGATAATTTGAAGAGTGATGAACCTAGAACGGTTCAATTGCATAGAGGAGCAAATGTTAAAATGGGGAAATTTGTTAGGTGGGATGCAGAAGCTACAGATTTTGATGATAGAGCTGCTTTCAAAACTTTTGAGGTATTTACTGATGTCAGGAATAGGCCACGGATCCTTCGAATGGAAATGGAAGAGAGAATCCAGAAGTTAGCTAGTCGGTAAGTCTTCTATATACTTGATTATTATGTTGAAATGCTCGAGTTATCCTGGTTTAAGTCTGACATAGTACTCTTCTCTATTTTTGAAAAGTTGGGCCTTCATGGTGCTTCAATGTAATCTTAGCATGAGCATCACTTTTCTTTGCAATTGCCCAACTTTCATCCAATTTACCTACAAACTGCTCCTTGTATCTACCATCATCATTCACACTAAAGATATGATCATGCTGCTTGACTTGGAATTTTTTTCCCATTGAAATGACACCAATGAACTTACTGAGGTTCCATCAATCCTTATGGTTATGTATTTTTCGAAGGCTCAATGCTACAGATGTAAACACTCCAGAGTGGAAATTCTCTAAAATGATTCATGATGCAAAAATCAAATTCTCTGATCACTCTATCCTGAGGATCGTTCAAATGTTGGGGCGATATGGAAATTGGAAACGTGTTTTGCAAGTTGTTGAATGGCTTCAGTCACGTGAAAGGTTCAAATCCTACAAGAGCAGGTTAAGTAATTGTCTACTCATATATCGCTACACTCTTCTTAGATGTCACGCATTCTAGCTTAAAAATGCATGCTATGTTCATAATGTTATCTATCTGATGCAGGTATATTTACACAACAGTTCTCGATGTTTTAGGGAAGGCAAAGAGACCGCTCGAGGCATTGAATGTATTTTACAGCATGCAGGTACAACTAGTTCTCATCTTTGTCTTATGGTTATGTAAACCTAATCTGACCTTATTCATATGTCATTTGCAGAACCAATTGTCATCTTATCCTGACATGGCAGCTTATCATTGTATTGCTGTTACTCTTGGGCAAGCTGGTCTTGTGAAAGAACTATTTGATGTGATTGATTGCATGCGTTCTCCTCCTAGGAAGAAGTTCAAATTGAGCCCTCTTCAGAATTGGGATCCTCGCTTGGAACCAGACCTCATTGTATACAATGCGGTGAGTAATATCTGTAGCAAATTTCATGTGGAACTGCCGAACTGGATTGTATAGACCAGGAAACAAGAATCTTCAAATATTTTGGTCACTTGGTCTTCAGTAGCACATAACTACTTTTACCTCTTTGCAGGTTTTGAATGCTTGTGTGCAACAAAAGCAATGGGAAGGGGCATTTTGGGTACTGCAACAGTTGAAAGAGAAGAACATTCGTCCAACAAATTCAACATATGGTCTTGTTATGGAGGTACGTTAATCTTGATGTTGCATGTGAGTATGTGACACAGTTCTCGTGCACTCCATCTCAGACCCAGCTATGGTGGTCCTGATTGATGCTTCTGCAAACCTTTCATTATTGTCTGACGATAATTGAGCAGCTCATTCCGATTGAAATGCATTGATTCATGTTATTTGTTCTCCACTTATCTCGTCTGTTTTTCACAGTAGCATTATACTTTCAATATTTTTTTGCATTGCTTTTTATGTGGCATAATCCCATCTCAGTCTATTCTAACTCTCTGATACTGCAGGTGATGCTTGTCTGTGGAAAGTACAATTTGGTTTATGAGTTCTTCAATAAGGTGGAGAAATCATCAATACATGGTGCTCTGAACTATAAAGGTACTTCCTACAACTTTAACTTGATTATGTTAAGTATAATTGACATATCTGACCCGCTACTGTCTGTAGTTCTTGTAAATGCACTTTGGAGAGAAGGAAAGATTGATGAAGCAGTAATGGCTGTGAAGGATATGGAAAGTCGTGGAATTGTTGGTTCTGCTAGTCTGTATTATGACCTAGCTCGATGCCTTTGCAGTGGAGGACGGTGCAAAGAAGCACTTCTCCAGGTTTGTACTTAACAAAATGTAGTTAATATGTGCAACATATATAGCTTATGTTGACACGGAAATTGAATCTTGCTATGGCCATTCTGTATTGGGCATACTGAAGGATAACTACTTAAACTGCAAGGTTTAGGATCAATGATCTATATTGTGTTGGCCTGAATATATTTTTCATAATTTTATAATACACTATTTTCTGCAATCGATAGATTTAAACGCTTATCTTTAATCTTGGTTGTCGAGCGAATAGAAGATATAGTGTTTCAAGGCATCTGTGCCTACACAAAGGAAGACTGTTGATAGATGATGCATAAGCAAGATTGCAGAAACCATACTTGTACTGTAGAGGTGTTCTGAGCTATTACTTTAGATATGTGTAAGATAAGGCTGGAATTAGGCTCTGAACCTATTCTGAACCTACAGTTTTCATTGCAGAGCTTTTGATTTGAGAAAACTTGCAAATCCAGAGCCATCTGTCTGTTGTTGTTTCATGCCTTCAGATTGCTTGTTTCGCCTCACTAACTTCTGTCCGATGACAACTACATTGCAGGTTGAGAAGATATGCAAGGTTGCCAACAAACCGCTGGTTGTTACCTACACAGGACTCATTCAGACTTGCATAGACAATGGTGGCATGGAAAATGCTAAATACATATTAAACCACATGTGCAACTACTGTTCACCTAATAATGTGACTTGCAACATCATGCTGAAGTCATACATTAAACATGGAATGCTTGAAGACGCGAAAGATCTGCTCCATGATATTCTGAATTGCAGGATAAGGAGTAAAGCGGATTCTAGTCAAGTGGCAACTGCTGACAAGTTTACCTTCAATACTTTCATGGAGGCCAGCGCTGCAGCAAAAAGGTGGAATGACTTTGAGTATGCGTTTCGCCAGATGTTATTGAACGGGTACCATTTCGATGAGCGAAGACACCTCCGTATGGTACTTGACGCTTATAGGCATGGAAAGGTACTTACATTAGCAACTATCACTGGTAGGAGCAGAAACATTGTGTTCATGTCCAGCTACTTGGTGGAACAATTCATGTGTCTCACCCCTAGTTCTTCATCACTATTCAGGAACAGCTGTTGGATGATCTGTGGCACTACCTGTGTCATCACAGCCGTGTCCCGCCCACCCCTGTCATAATGGAAAGATTCTGCCTAAAACTGATGCAGGGAGACACATTGGCGGCGATCTCCTGCGTCAGCAGCTTCGAGGAGGGCAAGATATGCAACATCTCCTCCATGTCGTGGCTCAATCTGCTGAGTCGCAACGCGGATAGGCTGAAAGAGGAGCATGTTACCAAGTTAGCTCATGAACTCAACAGCCTCGTTAGCTCAAGGAGTTCCTCTGATAGCATTACTCTGTACCAAAAAATTCTTAGTAGCTGTACAGCCTTCCTTTCTGGAGCCACCGTTGTAGAAAAGGCAGCCTTCTGACCAACAGATGGCGTTACAGAAATCATAATTACCACGACTGATAGAGTATATTGTAGAAAAGGCGCCTTCTGACCAACAGATAGCATAAGCCTTCTGACTTGTTATTGGCAGATGCTATGGTCCTGTGTCATCCTGCCATCATCACCAGGTGTGCTTTTGGGATACATTGATTTCGTACGGCACGCGCAACCCAGCAGATTGTTTAGTTAATCTTCTCTCAACTGACATTCATAGGACGATTGTGTTGTTTAGTCAATCTTTTGTCAACTGACGTTCATAGGACGATTGCGACAAGCAGCTGCTATCACTGGAGCACAACGGTGATGGTGGAAAATTGGAAATGTCAGGGTCAGTTTGGTTGATGCTATTATATAATGGATGTGGTCGGTTGTAGTTGCCTGACATTGGCACATTGGAGAGGGTCGGTCTGGTTGATGCTGTCATATAATGATTAATGAATGTAGTCGGTTGTAGTTTTCTGGCAGTAGTACATTGGATTTACGGTGAAACCACCTGCTGGTCTGTTCACGTATATTACTACATCAGCTGACATGTCCAAATCCGTCCATATCTCAATATCTTCCATCTGGACGAAATTCCATGAACCATTGGCCTGGCCAACAAAATCATAAGGGAAGAAAAATAGTGAGGCTGACATGTGGCCGGGGGTAGCATGTATGCAGCAGTTCAAAGAAAAAATGGGCTACTGAAACAATAACTAGGGATGAAAGCAAAATCAGAAGATATCGGTTACCGAGGTTCATTTTTCAGGTTTTATCATGTTTTGACTAAAACAAAAATGGTAGTGATAAACGTAAACACCGTATCTGCAAAGGTAGAAAAATATAAAATGATAACAGTAGGTGACAGTAACCCTAGCTTTGCTTCCTATGAAGTCGTATGTAGGACAAAAGAAAGGATTAACAATGCTAAGAGGAAGGTCTATTGATATGAAAACTTAGTGCACATCTAGATAGATCTTTGTTTTTACGTGGTAGGCGAGCACAAATTTGAATCTTTGGTTTAATCGCCGTCGAGCCTTTGACACTATTTAGAGTAGTCAGGATGGAACCTGATAGACCCCATGTACTTTGACGGCATGAGCACAAACTCCTCCTATAGGCGTATGTGTATGTGGTGCTACATATAAGCCGTTAATCTAGGTGTTTTGAGAGTCACTAGAGACATGATGAAACACCTAAAGAATGCAAAAAAACCACCACTAGTGACAAGGAGATCCACCTCACCTCAATACTAGAGCTAGAAATTGCATTTTTAATGCATTAACATTGATGTGTTTAATCAAGTCTACAAGTTTACTAAAGCTAATGAGATTTGGCTAAAATTGGAAGAGCTTTATGATGGTTCTAGCAACGTTACGTCAACAAAAATACTTGGTCAAATCTTTTTCTATGTTACTTAATGAGCTTGTGAAAGACATGTACTCATGTCTTAATCTTATTATAAATGAGCTCAATGCAATAGGGGTTTAACCAAGGTGAGCAATGCGAATGTGGTGAGTCTACCCCTATAACGACTATGCTTCCATCGTCACCGTCCTTCGCAACATAAAATACTTGAGTACAATAACCCTCTCCTTTGCCACGTAGCACTCGCTCATCTCCAAGGTCCGCTTGCTCAGAGTGGGAGGCGTACCTTAGTGTCGCCAACAACGTCCTCACCAATTGCGTCATCAAACTCGGTCGAGGTCCGCTTCCGATGCCGGCTTAATCACCACGCTAAGGGACCACCGCCTTTCTATCCAAGCGCGGCCTCCGCCCCCTCTTGCACTTGAGCACATCTAGGCATGGTGAAATTATTTTTTTCTAACGTGATCTTTAACTTGAGACTGATCCTCTAGCATTTTCTGCTAAAGGTGCCTCTAACATAAGAGTCTGCAATGTATAAGATTGACTCTAAATTTTTAAATACCTATCTTTTTTGCACGCTACAGATGCCCTAAGAGCTCAAAGTGAATTCTTGATGCAACCTTATATTGATACGGTAGTATCCATGCCATTATCATTTGTTGAAACTTAAATATTGTTGTACATATATTTGATGAGGATTTGAGTATATACTGCTTATTCTCAAAAGAAAAGAGTACTGTAGGCAAATAAAGTAGGGAACAGATGCAAAAAAAAAATTTAAAAAGGGATTTGCTATATTTCAGGTGCCTGAAATATAGCTTCATTTCTGGCGACATCTCCTAGCCTTTAGATCTGCATCCAACGGTCGATTCTCATTGCGATTGTTTCAGACGAGAGCCCACTCATAACGGGTCCGCGAAAATAAACCCGTTAGGCACATCAGGTGTTACCGGGCCCGCCAAAGCTTAACGAGTGGATAAACCGATACCCGCTAACTGAAGTTGATGCTCGTTTGGGCCAGAATGTAACTATTGGCCCATTAAACACAAGTACAAGCTGACAAAATAATAACTCTGCCACTGTAGAAAGAAACTCTGCCACAAATCAAAATTATCAGAGTATAATTTCTATTCTACAGCTGCAAAAATCATAAAAATATGGTCTGTATGGCCACAAATCACAACAACTATTCTACAGCCTCCATATATCGACCTAATCCTTTTGTCAGCCAGAGCAGCCAATGAATGTCCACTCTCTTAACCATTTTATTTGTTTAGCTCAAATTAACTATTTCAGATGTCATTAGATTTTGCACAATCTTAGATGCAAATTAAGTGTAATGCATTATATTGATAAAAATTACGACAACACAAAATATTTACTCACACATAATGAGATGTTCTCGTGAAAAAATGCACAATGAATATGATCTTCAAAATTACAAAACAAGAATATGAAAATTGCACGCTTTTAAATAGTGCAAATACTCCATGTTGTTAATGCAATTATACTATATATGTATATAAATATAGAATCCACTCATGAATGTGGAGCTCACGACAAGACAATTAAACAAAGATGTAATGATGTACATAAAAAAATGACAAAACCTGAATACAACCACACATATGAGAGAACAATTTACATATCTCATATTATCGGATGCCAAAGGTTCACACAATGAGAGAATACAATTTCAAAAGCACAAAAGAGGTTGAAAGAACCTTAACATGAGCCTCCAGCTAAAGCCATATTTGGATGACACCCTAGTTCCTCAACCAAGTACTTGCACACCTCCAGATGGCCCTAGCATGCTGCTCAATCACCATTTCCTATGCCAAGGTTCCTTATGATACCTTACGCACAATGACAAACAAGTTACCATATTGAGGAAGCAGATACCCAACACATGACCGCACAGTCACCAAGAAAAACAATCTCACCACCAGTAAAGGGAAAACGTAAGTAACATGGACTCAGAGTGTAAAATAGGATAGCATCGCTCTAACAATTATACAAGCAAGGAGTTGTTAAAATAAAGAAACTAAGGTCTAAGTGTGAACTTGCCATACATCACTAGGTGTCGTCAAAAGCGAAATATGGTCGATAAGTAAATATTTATAGTTTTGCCAGACGTTGAGATCGGATGTGGTCTAGCATTGTCATTGTAGAGTCTGGACCGCCCAGACGCGTCTTTGTCATTGTGGTCATTTCGGCCGGGCCGAGTTTGCGGAAAAGCGGTCCTATTAGGGACCCCGGGTCTATGAACCCGACACTAGGTAACTAAATAGCTTGGACGACATCTACACCACTAATCCAACCTGCTTATCAATGCATGCCCTAAGAATGATCACATCACCAATGAAAAGACCATAGTTTAATCAGTACAAATCAATAAGTAATGAGGATTCCCTAAGTACTAATGAAAAATTAGTAGGGAAAGTGCTAAGCTAAAAAGAATACAAATCTCATCTATACAAGCAGATCCTACTGGCACACTACTGCAACCATTCTTGCATGTGAGTGAGCTGCCATAAGCACATCCAACTATTGGAGATCACACTGGCACACTATTGTAATGAAAATATCATGAGCAAATATCATGCACAGAAACAGAAAAACTTCTACAGAAAATAATAAGGAGGAGCTTAGCTTCTGGAGTCTGTATTGTATTTATGTGCAAGGACAAGGATAAAAATGAGATGTGTGTTGACACAAATCAGAATTAACAAAGTTCATGAAGTGTTAGCACAAATCACAAGAGACAAATTTTTTTCTATGAAAAGACAAGGACAAAAACTTGGCTTCAGCAAGCACAAACCACAATAAAAAAAAGGTGAGTTAGCACAAATCACAAGAAAAGGAGCATGCGGTCAATTTGAGTGGCCAATTAATTTATGTAATTTATACGATGAACATGATGTTACAAGCTTAAATTAAATTATATTCAAACATACAATTGCATATGCTGAGAACCACAATTGCAATGCCCAATAACTGCAATTTACATTATTGGTGATTGCAATTGTGTAACTGAATGTTTTAATTGTGTAACTACAATTACAATTCTATCACAGGGTGGACCAAGCTACACAAGCCTTATGAACCAAGTCATAGTCTCACTACAAGTAACAGAGCACTTGAAAAATTCAGTAGTATGTTCCTCCTGCAGACACCAAACATGTCTGCTAGGACATTTCTTATTTCAGAACAGAGTTTCTTTAGTGTGGGGTTATGAATGCAAGACATTTCTCATTTCAGGGCAAACTAACTGACTGCAGACTAACAAATACTGACCTTATTGTTGAAGTTCCATCTGCCATTTTGTGTAAAAATGTCTTCACCATTCCCAGCTTTAAGTTAAAAAAAGACAGTTATAAGGTTTACGTTTTCAAAATTCCATGACAATTATCACAGGCTGACAGGCATTCAGAAAATGATTGCAATTTTTGTAATGGTGACAGGAGAGATAAACAAGGATTGCAGGCATCTTACTTTGTTATCATTGCCACCTGATGCAAGCTAACGATTGTTATAAGACCACTTGAGTCCACAAACCTAGAAAATATGTGAGATTAGGGACCATACGTTACTAGAAAAGAAAATTGAAGCTTCAGTAGGATAATGTTT